TTGATTCATACTGTTCAAGTAACATGCTTTATGAACCATCAAGCTAAAAGACAATATTGATTGAGTTCAAAGCTGAGTTGTGAGTTGATGGGGTTGTCACACTTGTCACATGGTTGGAATAAAGTACTCACATGGAAGAGATAGATTGCTTTGTTATACACAACCCATCTCATCTGAATGAAAATATACATACAATATAATCAAAACAAAAAATACATACACAACAAATTTATACATAACAATGTTCAAATAATGTACCCACAAAAATGAAATTAATCCGATGAAAAAGGGTTATTTCTAACGAAGTCCGGAACATTATTTTTCCAAATAATGTACCCATAACAATGTTCAAATAATGTACCCACAACAATGTTTAATTGATGTGTTGTTTAATTTTCAATCTGCATTATATTGAAGGTAAAAAAGACCTGTTGAAGGTAAATTCGCAACGCGAAAGGTAAATTCGTAACGCGAAATAAGCGTTGCGATAGTCAAATTCGCTACGCGATACGCGATAGTCAAATTCACAATGCAAAAGTCAAATTCAGTTTGCGATTTCGCGTTGCGAATTTGACTATCGCGTTGCGAATTTGACTATCGCGTTGCGAATTTGACTATCGCAACGCTTATTTCGCGTTGCAAATTTGACTTTCGTGTTGATTGTAACATACAACATCAAGGTATATACAACATCAAACACATTCCAAGCTATAAATACAAGCTAATGACACTTGAAGAAGCAAGAGAACAATTATCCAAACAATCAAACACAAGAGAAAATCCCAACATGATAACAACTGAACAGATCATAGCAATGTTCAAACTCAAGTTACTAATGAATGTCTAACTGAAAATGTATGCATTCACACATAAAATACACATAATACAACGTTTGCATTTAAAAATTACCTAAGTTAATAAGTCCCAAAAGGTGAAGCCGATTGTGATTGAGATTTTGATTTTGATTACGATTTTGATTTTGATTTCCTTTTGCTTGGTACCATATGAGCTTTGGATTTTGATGAAGATCCATTTTTTGGTAGAGGAAAAGATGATTGTGATGGCACTGGTGATCCACAAGTCAACCTTGTATGATCACTTTCCTTGCACTGACTACATGTCGATATCCTCTTCTCTTCACCCTTAGACGGTATACGATCGTGATTTTTTGGTCGGCCAGGTAGCCTGTTGTCCATGACTGGTGGCAAAACTGTTTGTAAGTCATCTGGTATGTCCCACTCAGAAGGATGTGGACATGGGTAGACAATCTCGACATAAGTCTGTCGATATACTTTTGTAGTGTAGCAATCCATAGCGTATGCACTTGAATAATCTTGGTTTAGATGAAGAGCAACTTTTATAACATGACCACACGAATAACCAGATGTTTGCCATTTCTTACAACTGCACGTCTTTGCATTTAGATCGACAAGCTCATTTAAGTTATTATCCAATACTTCAAACAAAGTGTTTGAACATGGTTCAACTCTCCAGGACGTTGACTTCACAACACGTTTCGCTATCTTTTTTTCAGTCCATGGTGTAACACGACGTTCCAATGTTCCTGTAAATTTAAATAAATAATACTTAGTAAAATATATGATAAGTTACGAATTTAAAGAAATAATACCTGCATGGTTTCTTTTCTTGTAGTACCACTGTTGAATAGAGGCTCGAAAAAACTCCATTAACATATTAATGGGTAATTTCCGGGAATGACGACTTAGAGCGTTAATTGATTATTCACTATTAGACGTCATGAAACCATATCTTGCTCCAAGTTGATGTACTCTTGACCATCTTTCAAACTCGACATCTTCTAGTGTTTAAGCACATTGAGGCAAAACACAACTTAAATAATTTATATACTTATTAAAATCCACTTCCCGATAAGCTTTTACAGCCTTCCAGTATGTCAATTTGTGATTTTTTATACCAGCAGACCTTGATTTTAGATTTCTGTACAAATGAACACCACAAAGTCCATAAAAAGCATCTGGGAAACACCTTCTAACAGCGTTGTCAATTGAGTTTGCCCTATCGGATATGATTCTCAGATTGCTAATAGGACCTATGCAATCCCTAAGATGCCCCATAAACCATGTTCATGAATCAGAGGTTTCAAATTTGCCAACCCCGTAAGCTATTGGCAGTATCCCATTGTTAGCATCCATGGCTACTGCTAATAAGTTTACTCCAAGGTATCGACCTTTCAAATGTGCTCCGTCAACTATAATAATTGGGCGCATGCAAGTAACAAACGAACGAATCTACAAAATCATATACACAAGAAATATAATCATTTAAATGTGAAATGCATGCAACTAACAAAAACGAGTCAACAAAATTATAATGATTTACTAACCGCAGCACCAATGGCGATAAACAGCAACTCAAAGCGTCTATCTCTATCTGTTTTGATATGAGTTACCGACCCATGATTTTTCAGCTTTAAATTGTGACAATAAGCCGGCAGTTGGGCAAACGATGCTTCTGGAGACCCCCTCAACAATTTCAAGGCATAACATTTGGCTCTCCAAGCTTGAGAATATGAGATACTAATATTGAACCGAGCATTCAAGTCAGTCATAATTTCATATCCCCGATATACCCTTCCATTCAAAAACATTAACTCAGCCAGAAAACCACCCAACACCTTTTTGTTTGTCTGTGTATGGTGAGGAAAAACTTGGGTTATTGAACATGTATGTTTATCAATAAAAGTCCTAACTTGAAACATTTCGTAATCTTTTATCCTCTTTGCAATCATACGCCACGTACAGTTTTTATCAATCATACACCTTGTTTCGAAACGATCTTTGCTTGATTTGTTAACTCTTAGTTGATAGCCATATTCCACACATTTCGTATACAAAGCTATCTTCAAGTATTCCTTTGTATCAAAACAATCATCTTTCTTGATACGAATAACTTTTGTGTAACAATCAACTGATATCTTTACCAACTCTTCTTCCGGTATCTGAAGTAATTCTGGCATATTCTAGTTATACTCCCGTGGCATTTTCTTCTTTTTCCTTTCTTCGAGGACTTCTTCTTCTTCTTCTTCTTCTTCTTTAGGGTTATATGAATTACACAATAGATGTTCAACATGTTCATTCACAGTCGTAACTTCCTCCTCATTATCATCAACAACATCTTCCTCGGCATCGGCTGTTTCATCATCAAAATTCGTGTATTGACCAATATCAAAATCATTACATGCAGGGTCTGTTTCTTCTTCCATCACATCATCAAAATCCGAGTATTGACCAAGATCAAAGTCCGGGTATTGACCAAGATCAAATTTCGAATATTGACTAGTACTCACAATTTTTTTTGTTGGCTCATAATCGTCTAACTGGTCAATACGAAAATCGGAATTTGGTGCTGAAAGTTGATTGGGATTTGGATTAGGAAAAGGTTGTGGGTTTTGAGATTGTGTTTGACATTATGTTTGGTATTGGAAATGTGGTGAAACAAAATTTGCTTGGTGATGAAATTGTGGTGGAACCATTAAATTTTGGGTTGAAGAACTTAGTTGATTACTACCCGCTACTGACCCAACTTCACTACTTCTAGGTTCAACAACATACAATGTAACATCATCTTCTTGCGAAACACTAATGTAAGCAATGAATCGTTCAACATCTTCATTGTCGGTTAACAAAATAAACTTTATATTTTCTCTGATAAGATAGCCTAAATCCACTTAGAGACTCTAAATTCAATTTCTTTGCAACACGTAACATTAGAGTTTCATAAGTTAACTTTTTTAATGCAGTTTTAGTTGAAGATTCATGGGTAAAGGAACATATTGTAAGACACCATGAACATTCTCCCATGACCCTCCAAAATAAAAATCTATCCAAACATGATCAACATTAGATGATTTCATTCTACAAATTATAAATTAATTTACTAAACAAACAAGCTATAAACTAGATATCATCACTAACTTAGAGAAAAATATTCATTTATTAAGTTGATAGTTGATAATTTGGGAGAGAAATCATTGAAAAATTATATAGAAATAAAATTATGTAAAAAAATAGAGATAGGGAAGGATGTCGTTGGATATAGGAACGGATGTCGCCGGAGAGAGAGTGATAGATGGAGATAGAATGAGTTGCGATTTAGGGATTTAGGTTATGAGTTGTTGCTGCTGCGTTGTTATATACCAAAAACATTTATTTTGCGAAACTAAAACCTGTTGCGAAATTAAATTTGCATTGCGAATTTAAAATTTAGTTGCGATTGCGAATTTGACTTTCGCGTTGCGAATTTCCAAAATCGCAATCCGATTTACATATTCGCGTTGTGAAATTGAAAATTGAGTTGCGAAATTAGAATTTGCATTGCGAATTTGTTGGTCATTTTGACAAATCCAAAAAATTTTTGATTAAATTCATATATTATAAGACATTTTTTGTCACTAAGGTTATTTTCTCTTTATTTTATTGTGTCCATGTTTGGTGATAGAAACATTACAAGTAGTGTGGTGTGCAACTGTACGCGACATTTGATGGTTAGTATTGTCCAAGCTGGAAGTTTCGGTTTCCATTTGAAAGAAAGTATCTATCTTCATCAAGCGCAACTTTTTTCGTATGTTAAACCATTGTCTAAGTAACAACTGCGAGACAAGTTTTGAAGCATGAGAAACAGTAATGAACAAGGAAATAGAAGTGTTAGTAGCATAAAGCACAAGAGTAACATTACTTTACCTCCATTTTTTATTTGATATAATCCCATGGGAGGAATGAAAATACTTGCTCTCAAATATGTATGTAACAACGATATTTGGATTTGGGTGTAACCATGTTAACGTGTCTTTTTTTTTTTTTGATCCAGTTGCTAATGTATCTTGTTCAGTTTGTCCAAGTTTATATGTATTTTTTGTCCCCCAAAAAAAAAAGAAGTTTATATGTACTGAAAGAGTGCATGTATTTTAGAGAAGTCTAAAAGAGTGACATGCGAAACAGATAGATACTTGGATGAAAAATGAGAAACCAAAACGTTACAGATAGAAGTGCAGTGGAAACGAAGGTTGATAAGGGGGGATCAGCAGATTATGTGAATGCATAGAGTGATAGAAACAAGTTAGTAATGAGGGGGAATTCATGGAAAGGGGTTGAAGCCGCTTCGTACCATTTGATCCAGCGGCCAGAACAAAGGTTGGGGCAGCTTATCCTTATCCCACTCGTACCAGTCCCAACCATCGCACTTGTTTGGCCAGGTTTTGTGGAAGTGATGGGATCCGCTAACACTGCACGCAGAAAGATGGTGACGTAATGGGCGGGTTTGGGTTGGTCCAGGAAGAGGTTATTGGTCACTGTTATGTACTCTGCTTTCCCTATTTCCAGACCCGTCTCCTCCTTCAGCTCTCTGGCTCCGCACTCTTCGAAGCTCTCCCCTGCACCACTTAATTAGCTAATTTATGCAAGAGAAACAAAAATAATTGATTTAACTAGTAAAGTTGAGAGACAGACCAAACTCGAGGTGGCCGCCGGGGAGAGCGAAGGTAGAAGCACCGATTGAGGAGCGCCGCCGCCAACAGGACCGATTTTCCCTTCAACACGAAAACCACCACCCCTACTCGTGGCACCGGCTTTGCTTCCTCCACATCCATCTCCAATGGCGATTCTGTCAGCGAATGAATTCTAACTAGACCCCAGAGTCCAGTGTAGCATATATAAAGTAAAGGGAAGCTCGGGGGCTACGCACTTGGGCATAAAAAAATAAAGGTTAGGTAAGGAAAGTGGGCCGAAGGTGGGCTGGTCTTTAACTTGATTTGACCTCTATCTCTGTCATATTTTACTCATTTCAATAATAGAAAAATTAAGCATATTTAAAGTGTGTGCATGAAAAACAACCGAATCCTTCGCTCAACTTATTGCGAACTTTTTAATTTAAACTTCATGTCTTGTACCCAAATCGGATTTCAAAGAAGGCAGCAAGGACAACAGAATTGGAGGGGAATAAAGCTGGATCGTCATCCATAACTTCTATTTTCATAGCATCTGACAATGACAGATGAATCTTGAATTGAATGTCTAAAAAGGGCTGACATTATGAGCCAATTTCAACATTAATTCGGGTACAAGGCGTCTTCTTGGAGGAGCCACGGCATCTTTTGCAAGGGCTTCTTCATCTCCAGCATGTATGATGGCAACATCTTCAAACATCTCATCTCTGCCACCTCTCATGGGATCCTGAATTTTTACAACAAATCAAACAAACACTTTAAAAGCATATGTCACTCCTCCATTACCTGATGAAATAAATCCGTGTGTGTCTTTCCATCATACAAAACGGATTCTGCTTTCCCTCCATTTCTTCGAAGTGCATCTGCAAAACTTGTACTGCAAGGGAAAGAAAAACATGAATAAGAGAAAAAAAACACCTTGGGACATTTCAGTCATCTATGGCCTACCCATCCAGCAATTACTACAAACTAAAAGTATTAAAGGCTATATATAATATTAATCAGCGGACTAAATTCCCTATACCCAAATTAAGTTTACGTAGCCACATCACAACAATAATGGAAGTTTAGAGCAAATGGTACAATGGAATGCTGAAGAATATACGATGACCGTCAAGGGCCTTATCTATTGTATGCACATATAATAAAATCGAAAAAGAACAACCCATATTTAGAATTATCAATTCACAAGACGAGATTATACCTGGCGTCCGCAGAATAGAGAAATCTGCAGTACCATGAAAAAGATGATAGGAGGAAGAAGAGAAACAGCAGGCTTAACGTCTGGGTCCTGCATCAATACTTCAGGAGAGTACTGATGCAAAGATCCTCCCCTTCCATTATGCTGTATGAAAATGCAGACACAATTGTTCAACAGAGGAAAACAAACACATAATAGATCCAAACATGCGTTTCCTGGAAATTACATACCTTAAAAAGATCGAACAGTATAAACCTCGATTGTGAAAGTGATCTATAAGGTTAAAAAGACTGTACCTGTCGGGGAATGTTAGAGTAACTGAGCATTAACGAATAAGCACAAAAAGAGAATTGCTTTATTATATAATAATCTGCTAACGTGTTTTGCATATAATAAACATTCAGATGTTCTTTCCAAACAACTAATGCACTAAATGAAGGGGAAATGGGGAGGAAAAAAACTTTCAGCATTTAACAAGGAACCCAAAGATAGAAGTGAGCACAACGAGTGCTATTAAAAACCATCCTCCCAATACAAAACACTGTTCTATAATGACTCACTTACTACCTTTGACCCTTTACCTTTTAGAAGAAATCAGTGCTAATTAGGTGAGGAAGACTAGAATATATAAATACACATACACATATACATTTATATAACACAATCAGTGTATCAAAGAAAAAACAAACAAACAAACAAACAAACAATTAGTGTGCTTTACCTTGAGTAAATTTGAAACCAAAAAGGCGTTCCATCATCATCATCATCATCATTATTATTATTATTATTATTATTATTATTATTATTATGAAAGCTATATTCAAAATTAACTTAAAATTTCAGGACCAGATTAATGATAACAGAAAAAGGAAAAAATTAACTGTATTGTTTTAGTGCCCATATCCACTTCATGCGGGTAATAAAGTTCCTCGATTATAAAATTTTAATAATTACCTCCAATAAACCAAAATAAGCTTTTATCTGGGACACTCCAAGAAGTACTGCCTTAGCTAGCTTCTTTGATTGCCTGGTTTATAAGTGCGCAAGCTGCCATAAGATAAATCCTAAAAAGAGAAACCACGAATATAATATTAAATATAATGATTCAAATTAATAAAAAAGGGAACATTACTGATCATCTACCTGTTGGGATCACCTCCATATTCAACGAATGAGATGCCTTGAGAAGCATCTTCCACCATGGCACTTATTGTGCCCTGTGGAAAATTTCTGCATGAAGATTCCAACTATGAGAAATAGGACACTTGAAGCATAAATTTAAAACAGTAATCAATGAGGCTTTTGAATAAGGGACCGATCCTTAAAATATCAAGATTTACACCACGTAAAGCGGTTATGTTGTAACTAACCAAACAATAATAATTACACAATATTCCAAAATATTAGTGAGCAGTGCTAAATTTTGCACCTGGAACCATTAATCAAAATACAACTTACAGACCTTTGTACCCAAAAAATATATGGGATATAGTCACTTTAGAATCCCATTGATAAATTTATATACATGAAAAACATGGTTGATCAAGAACATTACATTTGAAATTCGAGAATAGAAGAAGTATAAAAAAGAAGATGAATGACGAGTAAAATTGATAAAACCAAAGGTAACACATTTTAAAGAAGTTTGATGTGAGACCAACAAAAGGTAAGATAACGAAATTTTATTATGCGATCATTACATGCCCTAAATAGACAAATAATTTCCCTAATAAGAACTTTAAAACTAAACAAGCTAAGAAAAAAATTCTGCAGATAATGTGTACTAAACAGGAGTCTAGCTGATAATAAAAGAAGAGAACATGTTAAATTTCACGATCATCAAATCACGAAGGCTTCTATATGCAATTCTTAAGAATGCTTGAATGGCCAGCTTATAACAACAATCAGTTTACAGTAACAAATATATGGTAAGAAGGATGATCAGAAAGAAGAAAAAAAATCAAGAATATTGGTCAGGTCTTGATCCAGAAAAATAGGGCCATCTCTTCAACAAAATGTTTTTGCCTTAAAAGTAAATATTTCACCTGTAGTCTATGCATGCCACTATGATGTCACTTTCTGATAACTGTTGACCTAAAAGAGAACCCCATACTTTATAACTGCATTACAAAAAAAAACGAAGATATATGAAACAATTAAAGAATATATTAGCAAGCATAAAGCAAATAAGGTGCCAAAGAGGTATAATGACAGAAAAAGTAGCCATAGGCCCATGGCAGTGATCAGAACTTAATTTGGCAACCGTAAAAGAAAAAGGGAAGTGATCACTATCTTTATCTTATAGATCATACTTCCCCTTCGTATTATATGGGTTACTTTTCATTCTAAGAATGTTAAGTATCATTCAGTATGATCACACAACAAAACTGGATCTTTTATCTTCCAAGAAACTTAAAGGAGAGCCATATGCCATTACAATTGAGAGTTTCTACTACGTGTCCATGTAAATGACATCAAGAAACAACAAATGGCTTACCCAATAATCCAAGCCCCACCAGTTATAAAAGCTACCACTGGTTTAGTACAATGGTTGCTTTTAGGCAAATAAAGATCAAGCCTGCAAACAAAATTTGAGTTATTCATGCCGGAAAGTTCCTGTACAATTGCAGGGATATACAAAGTAAATTACTTGGAAGTGCAAAGGAAATAGACAGACTACCAACTTTACCTATTTCTAGGATTTTCACCATATATTATGTTCCTACAGACCTGTCTGGAGAAAAAGTAGTAATAAGCAACTGCAAAAGAAAAGTAAGTTCGTTATACTATTTCAGATCCATCAAGTTAAATATAAACTGATGACAGAAAGAAAATGTCACAAATTAAAATTCTGTTTGGTTGTGTGACTTTAACAGTTTAACTCTTTGCCTTTTGCTTCCAAGAAGATTGGTATAAAGCAAATCATAAATGGGTAAAAATGACTACAATCTAACATGAATCTTCTATATAAATCTAAATTAATGCACTTCAATTCAAATAAATCATGTTTTAGTTTAAATTCCTAAAGGAAGTAAGGAAGTAGTTTGTTTTTGTAGTCAAATGCATCCTTTCCCTCTTTCCTACTAGAAGCAAATATCTAGTAGTAAAACCAACAATCAGAAACGAATTCAGTAATAAATAAATATATGGGAAATATTTGTATAACCTTGAATAAAACCTGGAACACATCTCATAAAAGGTTAAACATAAAAGTGATATTAGAATCTCAGCTGACAGTAATTTCAAAAAATAAAAAACCCCTAAGTCCTTGTGCGACATAAAAATGATAAAGGCACTCTGATCTTGAAGTTCAAAGCCTTGTGTATGGGAATTGATACTTCTACTCTTCTCTTTTGACCAACACCAAAAATTGAGTTTGTTAAATAATTGTATCCCATTAAAGAATTCTTTTATAATCTTCTTGCATTCATCAAGAATTTTCTTGAACTACAATGCATGAAACTCTGTTCCTACATCTTCACTACTCAGCCAACTGATTCATTGTCTGATCATGCTGAAAATTTTACCTTCAATTTCAGCTTAACCATCTTACTTCACTTTTGTCCTAGCTATAGGACAAAGATTCTTCTAGGTCTCCTTAAGATGAAAGTGCTACATTTCTTCTTGAAAACTTTGAACGGGTCTTGACAATAATAGAAGTAAAGCTTCCTCAATAATCATTATTAGATTTTCAAATGTAACCTGGACTTGAGCATTAGTGTCGAATATGGGCAATTTTTGTAAGTACATTTTTCATATATTTGGAGTATCGTACTCCATATTCATGTCCGGATATGTGTTTGAACCTATACAAGTTCTTGAAGAAATGAAGAACTGGTGTGTAGGGAGCTTTACATAAATGGTCATCAATCAATATCATAAAAAGATACGTCCCTTACAGCTTCAGGTATTGCAGCACATTCCAAACCCAGATAGTCAGTAAAGGAAACCTATTCTGCTTTCTAATAAATAGAAAACATAGCAAGGAGCCACTAAAACCAAATGGTTGGTCCTTCTTTTTCCCGTTTCTATCATTCTACGCTAGTACAAAGATTTTGGCACCATCCGAATAAAAGTTGTTATGAAACGCTGAATATGAATCCCAGAAATAGTACTTAAACATTTTACAAAATAGAAAGAATCAGAACACCTCAAACAAAAGTTCATGGCACTCAATCTATGAGAAATATTTAACATACGAAAACAAGAATTTCAAAATGACTAACAAAACAAATAAGCATATAAAGTATCACAATGGACAGGAAAAGAATCATACACGAGATAGCAGAAAAGCTTCACACATAATCGAGAAAGGAGAAAGGTATCGGCAGCAGCAAGGCCCACTTCCCGGCTAATAGACTGGCGGGGAGACTAATCGGATAGCAAAGCGAGGGAGCTATCGCTGGGAATTCGGCGAGATCTCTGCTGGTGGTTGTTAGCAAAAGAAACATTAGAGTTGTTGTTAAGGCCGCTTGTTGAATTGTAACTGGAAACTCTATGTAGGAGAGGCGTAATGGCCTTGTCAGGTTCGAATTGGGAGGAGATGCGGAGGGTTGTCGATGGGACAACATCGATCTTAACTTTGACCACCGTTTTGGGTGGTGGTGCAGAGGAGGAAGGGTGGTTTGATATGGGCAGGATTGGAGATGGCATAGTTTTTTTAGTTTGGAAAAGCCTGAGATTAGGTTTTGGTAGCAAATGTTAGTTTATCTGTTTATGTAGGTGGGATTGGGAAACCGTAACTAGTGTTTTGAATTCAAAGAAGTTCCCGGCCTGGGTTGAGGGCGGAGCGGGAGAAAAGTTACGACAGAGAAAAAGGATACGGTTTTATGGAAATTAGAGCCGTGCCTAATGATGGCAAACGCCCATCGGCCCTCAATACCACAATTTCTTGTTTGCCACTTGGAGACCACTGTTTGGTGATGTACTCAAAGTATAAGTCTGATTTTAAATTGGTCTCTAAATTTTTAAATATTTCTATTTCATCCTTAAATTATGACTATCATTTTAAATTAGTCCTTCAACTTTTTAATATTTTAATTTTATCTTCAAATTTCGATCTTCATTCTAAATTGATCCCCAAACTATATGCATATACTAATTGAATACACTAAATTTCATCCTTATATTATATAATATATATATTTATATTATAAAATTATATTTAAATTTTTTTTCAGGGCCCAACAGTGGACCAAATCCAAGTCCCACGTAACCTAGCACGCCCTCACCAGCAGCACGCATTCCTTGTTTCCAGCCGCTCGAGGACACCACAGCTTGCACGCCTCTCCAACGGTCCCCGAGTCATCCGGCGCAAGAGTCACAACCGTCATCAACAACCAAAGCAATAATCCAGCATTAGAGTTCCATTAGGATTCAAAAGTGTAATCTAAAAATAGGTTTTTTTATATTATAAATAGATGTAAACATCCATTGTAATGGGGGATCCTACGAATACCAAAGATTACAGGGGGATTTTTACCAGAGGTTAGGCACAAAATACGCACAAAGATACTAGGACGAGAGAGAGAGATCACGAAAACACCACAGAAAATCGAAGCAAACTCAAAGTATTTGTAAACGATTCGCACAGAAATAAAAAGGTAGCATTTCTTTTTACCTTTGTTCGTTCATCTCTTCCTTTGCATGTCGGTTTATGCTTGTGGTTTGGCTTGAAAACGACCAAAAAGATACGGCCGATGACTTTGGGGTAAAGTTTTTCAAAACTTTATTGCTAGATCTACTCCCCGAGGCCGATTTTTTGAAAGATTTATGGTGATTTTTGGAAAGAAATTTCGAAGGGCTTTATGAAAAAAACAAAAAAAAATTATTTTTGCCGCCGATGAACAGCGACTGGCGCCGTTCAACGGCGGCGGCGAGGCGGCATGGGACGGCGTAAGGCCAGTTTCTGGGAACTCACGGCCAGTGTTCTTCATGGCCTAAGAACTGATGAGAGAATGGAGAGAAAAGGGAGGGGGTTTCAGCGAGAGAGGAGGAGAAATGAAATATTAAAACAAATGTTTGACTTATAAATGCGACCCGTACACGACCCATGCGACCCGATCCATCATCAGAGGATCCGCGCGTTTTTATTTAAAAGGGGGTAAACCGCGTTTTGACTCCCTCTGTTTTAAAAAACATTTAATTTGGTCCCCGAATCGGTTTAATTCCCTTGGTTATCTTCTAATTCGGCCACCTGATTTTATTTCGTTTCATTTCACTCCTTTATACTTATATATATTTTTATTATATTTCGAATTTACTATTTATTTATATATATATATATATATATTTGAATTTTTATTTGTTTACGCTATATTGTATTATATTCTTATGTTTATATATATATATATACATTACCTATTTTCCTTTATTCATATGTTATTTTATTATATATATACTACTCATGTCTTTTTTTATCTTCTTTGTTTTTACATTTTTTCACATATATTTTTATTTATTTGTTTACATTTTTTCCATTTCTTTCCTTTTTCTTCATTTGAATTTTCGTATTTTTCCTTGCATATTTTATTCATATTTATTCGTATTTCATTCTTTCTTTTTGTGTACATTATATTTTATTTATTTCGTTTGTTCTTTTTTTATTATCTAACATTTTTTAACTCTTAAGGGGAATTTTCACCAATCAGAGGTAAGCTTCGGATCAATATTTTACCTTTTAATTTAAATTACAATTTTCTTAATTTAAGACATCTGGAAATTACGTAGTACCGAAAGGGCAGTTCAAGGGTGCTAATCCTTCCTTGACTGTAACCGACTCCCGAATCGGACATATCTTTGGAAAGACGCAGATCAGGTAAGAAATAAGGTATCCGGTTAACCTATTTATTTTTAAATAAATAATCGGTGGCGACTCCAACCCACTCATTTCAAGTCGAAGCCCAATTCCGGGCCCAACCGAAAGACGGTTCCGACAGCTTGGCGATTCCACTGGGGACAGGTAAGTGAGTCAGGCTAAGGTAATTTCCAGTTGTCTTTTTAACGAAAAGGGTAAGTTTGAACTTTAAGGTAACATTTCGATCCTTATTACTTACTTTTGGTTATATATATATATTTTTTTGAGTAAATAGTTGGACTGACCGTTTTCTAATGATTTCAGCGTTCCAAACTTTTTCATCCAAAGGCTCTATACCCGAGCTCCGAACCCTTTAGGTGGGGGTGAAAGCGACGCATTCGTGTGAATTTATTCACCGCATATGCCTAGCAAGTAGCCTTCGGGATTCATAAACCTTATGTCTTCGTGAATTTATTCTCGCATAGACATAAGGAAATGTGTCCCTCGAGTTTAACTTAGTCCACACAAGCCTGTGATGGGTTTAGGACTAAGGGTCTGGTAAGCCCAAGGGGGCACCAGCAAGGAGAACTCGGGTACCGTTTTTTTAGAACCTAAACCATGAGACTTCGAAGAAATAGAGCCTACCCCAAAACCACATTCCAAAACCTAGGATATGTTTACTAACCATGTTTTTGTCCTATGTTTTTTTCTTGCCATTTTTTTTTCTCTTCTTTCATTATTTATTTATTTCTACTTTACTAACCTTTTACCTTTGTGTTTGTTTTTTTAGCATTTGCATCATAAAAGAGGCCATTGATCCTTAAAAAGACGTTCATTACGCACAAAATAATCTGAATTAATGATAAGGTGTTGTAATACAAGAGATTAAAAACCCTGAGGTACGACTATGGTCCGAGAAGACTCAGAAGGAAAAGGGAGACAGTCTTCAAGGCAGCTATGTGTCAGAGCTGGTTAGCTACGCCTCGATCAGCCTAAAGCAGAATGACGTACAAGAGCTCCAGGACATCTGGGATAGTTGGAAGAATGAGGTGAAACAAAAGTTCAGCCAACGGTACGGTGACGTTGCACTTTTGCTTCATGTTAAGATTGATGAGCCCTTAATTAGAGCCTTGGTTCAATTCTGGAACCCGGATACAGTTGCTTCACCTTTAACCGGGAAGACATGGTGCCCACCATAGAAGAGTACACTACACTGCTGCATTGTGAAAATCAAACTCGAGCGGGCCTACCTTAAGCACATTAAAAGTCACCTTTCAAAAATGCACTAGCTAAGGTTGCGGAGTTGATGAAAAATGGGTACTGACCGAGCTCGATGTAAGGGTAGTGGAGAAGGAATCGCTTGGCTTCATATCAAGCAACTAATGAAGCACCATCCCGATGAGGGAAGACAATAGACTTGTTTGCATTAGGTCTGTATGGTCTAATTTTATCCCAAAGACCTTGGGATACATCGATGCCCCGTAGTGGAGCTATTCGAACAACTCTCGAGAAGAGTCAATCCAGCACCAGCCATCTTGGCTGAGACCTTTCGATCTCTCAATCATTGCCGAAGAACTGGCGGAGGAAGATTTTCTGGGTGTATTCAACTCCTTCAGGTCTGGATTCACAGCCACTTCTGGAAGACTAACGGGGTTGCCTACCGCCGTTTCAGCACCACCTATTCACCTCTAGGTGAATTCATCACCTTGAAATGGCATGAAGGCGCTTCGAAAGAAAAATGGACGAAGGTCTTTACGCATCTTCAGGACCGGGATATTGTTTGGAGAGCCCCCTGGCTATTTCTCAGTGACGTTCTTTTCCGATGTGGTGACTCTGACACTGTGACCTTACTTGGACTTTGGGGAGCAGTCGGGTATGCTCCGCTATTAGCACTTAGACAGTATGGAGCACGTCAGTTTTTCCCAGCAACATGCGGGTTAGCTAGGTCAGAGTTTGAGTATCATGGCGACAGCTATAAAAAGATGATCAAAGAAGCAGCTGATTCGTGGAGGAAAGTATTCCGGATGGATGTTGTAGCTGCCAGAAGCATGCTCACTCCGGATTATGTGGAGTGGCGAAGATTGAGAAAAAATGACAATATCCCTGTGCCATACTGTGATGACACCCGGACTATGGAAGAACATCTCAGGCATGTCCCTTCTGAACTCGAGATAGCCAAGACCGAGTTTGAAGCGTGAATAATGAGCTGAAGCAAAGAATAAAGGAACTTGAAGCTGAACGTTATCAGTGGAAGCTTGATGTTGACTCTCAGAAAGATCGGGCAGAAAAACTGGAAAAAAGACAAAAAGAGTCCGTTTTGAGCTCGAAGACTTGAGAAAGGGTATCAAGATAAGGTCAAGGATAATTCCAAGTTGAAGGTAACCTCTGAACTGGAAAGACGAAGCTCATAGCCTGAAAAGGAAGTTTGAGGGGCCTGATGAGAAAGCTTGGAAGGAACAGATGAAGACTGCCCAAAGACGCTTGGCAGATAGTCAATATCAGAACCGCGCTTGAGAGTTCGGGTAGCTGACTTAGAAAAACAACATGAGAAAGATGGCAAGACAATAGCTGAGTTAGAAGCTATTGTAGATGGGTTCAAGAGGGAAGCAACGAGCTTCAGATAGTGCCTTTCGACGGAGGATTACAATGGCGTTTCCGTTGGGAAAGCACAACGAAGGGTGAGGGCCCGAGACGCAACCATACGAGATTTCTTGGATCAAGTGCAAAAAGCAGCCCGTCATCTTCACGGTATAGCAGGGAAGCTGGTGTGTTCGACAAGGCTTCCAACCAGTGACAGATGAAGGCAGAAGACTTCAACCTACTAGAAGCTGTCGGGGTCTAGAGGATTTAGTCCAAT